AACACAACACTTGACTGCCGTTGGGATCAATTCAAGTGATAATATGGCGTCCAAACAGCGCCACAGACAGAGAGACACGGATGACGACCTGTTGGTGGACGACGACATGACCGACGCCTCGACCAATGGCCGCAACGCCGACGCCGACGAAGAGATTGAGCAAAACTTCACGCCTATCTCTAAACTCGAGGTACGGATCAATTGAGTCGCTCTATGTCTTAATGTGTGATTATCTCATTGTCTGTCCCATAGGGTAATGGCGTGACAGCGGTGGACGTGAAGCGTCTGCAAGAGGGCGGTCACCACACCGTCGAGTCCGTCGCTTACGTCACGAAGAAGTCGTTGGAGAAAATCAAAGGCATTTCGGAACAGAAGGCCGAGAAGATCATCGCCGCGGCCATGAAGTTGGTTCCCATGGGATTCTCGACGGCCACCGAATACCATATGAAACGCGCGGATATTGTGGTCATCACTACTGGATCTAAAGAGTTGGACACTATGTTGAAGGGTTTGTGTGTTCGTTGTTTTGTACGCCAATTATCATCTAATGTGTGCCATTGTCTCCACCCCCTCCGCGCCCTCCAGGAGGCGTCGAAACGGGTTCGATAACCGAGATGTTCGGTGAGTTCCGTACGGGAAAGTCGCAGTTGTGTCACATGCTGTCCGTCACGTGTCAATTGCCGTTTGATTTGGGCGGCGCTGAAGGCAAGTGTCTCTACATCTGCACCGAAGGCACGTTCAGACCCGAGCGCTTTGTGGACATCGCGCGCCGCTTCTCGTTGGACGAGAACCAAGTGCTGGACAACATAGCGTACGCCCGCGCCTACAACAGCGACCATCAAACCCAACTCCTCGTGGAAGCGGCGCACATGATGTCTGAGGCCCGATACGCGCTGCTCGTCGTGGACTCGGCCACCGCTCTCTACCGCACGGACTTCTCCGGTAGGGGTGAGTTGGCCGCCCGGCAGATGCATTTGGCGCGCTTTATGCGAATGCTTCAGCGTTTGGCCGATCAGTTCGGTGTGGCTGTCGTTATCACCAATCAAGTGGTGGCCAACGTTGACGCGTCCGCTGTGTTCGCCGCCGACACTAAGAAACCCATTGGCGGACACATTATAGCTCACGCGTCCACTACGAGACTCTATCTGAAGAAAGCGAAGGGCGAGAACCGCGTGTGTCGTGTGTATGACTCGCCCAGTCTTCCCGAGTCTGAGGCCATGTTCTCCATTAATACCGACGGTATCGGCGACGCGAAGGAGTAGAAGAGTGGCCAACAGTTCACAGTTTCGGCTCTCATTTGATTTTTCATAATTCACTTAACTTTTCATTACTTTTCTTATAACAGATTACTTTCATAACTGAGAATAACTATAATTATAACTTATAACGTGTTTTTGTATTTAATTTATAGAAATAAATAAACGCATAGATATTTGACTAATGAATGAATTTATTATTTCAGACAATAGATTATAATTAAAACAATTAATTAATTAATAATACAATTTAGATAACTTCTATCACTAAAACATAAACTAATTATAATCGATGGCCGGTAATGTCGATCTCGATGGCCATCACTAGTGGTCACCGCTGTCTAGACATCGTTAGCATAGTCTGCGGGGTTCTTGCGTTTGAGCCGTATATTCTCGGCCTCACCCCAGAGGTAGAGGACGTATGCCTGGAGGAAGAAGGGGCCGGCATATGGGGCCACACTATTGAAGTCGCGTTTGAATCCGTTCCACGTCTTGGCCCAGAAGTCGGGGAACGCTCTCTGTTCGTACTGCGAGAGCCGCACGTATACCACGTTCCGCACGAACGCCAGTTTGCCGAACACCTGACCACCCATTGCACAGTCGGGTCACCGCTTGGATTGGCTTAGAGTTTGCGATACGAGTCGGCAGTCGACCAGAAATAGAGTCCAAAGTTTGTTATGGTTTTTGTGATGCAATGATTGCAGTAATGGCTGACAAACCACTGTATGTTTCACCCCCTCTGCTCTCCCTTTGCTCTCTCTCTTTCAACGACAGTAACGCCACTCTCGGGACTGATTGGCAAATGTTTGAAGCGTTAAAATATAGTGTTATATCAATAATAAGATAATGTTTACAATTTAGGCAAAGATTTGTGTTTTATATTGTATTTAGTTTTTGATTAATTGTTTGATTTATAATACTTTTAAATGTGTTAATAAGTGAACAATTGTTTCAATAATCAATCCATTTATTCAATAATCTGGTAAAATAGGGGTCAATACAAACGCTTACATTCGTAACGTTGTATATGAAAAGTATGTCAACTTTTATTGGCATGAATTTTTTTGAACGCATTTCCAATGTTTTTGAGCCGTAATTGCGGTTTGAATTCAACACTAAATTCATAATTGAATTCATTATTTAATTAAACATTTAAATCATTTTTAGGCCAAAAAACATATGCTTTTAAAAGTTTTGCGTTTATAAGTGTTGCGACAATTGTCTTGAGATGTCTTTCAAGAGCGGCATATCATTGGATAATAGCGTAAGTTTTGAGTTGTTTTCATTTTGATTTGATTTTCTATGTCACTAATTGTCTGATCAATTCCTCCACAGAATCTCAAGTTTCTTGAGCTCAAGAAGTATGCGATCAACGGTTTGAACGGAACCGCTGTTCCCAATGGCGTCCAGTGTTTGGCTGTTGATAATCAAAGACAGACAGTGTTCGCCATAAATGGTTCCCAATTATCTGTCATTCCATTGACTGAATTGTTGGCCTTCGAGTGGAACCGATCGGTGATTAACGAGACGTCAACACAATTGCCGGGAGTGTCCGTTGAACTCAACTTTAGGGCTCATTTCATATCGCTTTCGGCGGCGGGTTTTGGCCAAAAGCTGGCCGTTTGTGGTACTGATGGACAGACCAATAGTCCATTCATTATGTTCTATGACTTGAATGAGATCTATAGGAATCAGTCAAAGGTTTGTATCGAAAGGTTTAACTCATAAATTGATTGCTTTTTTCTATGATTTAATGATCACTAGAGCTGTCCATACAATCGGGTAAACCTCGCGAACAGCACAGGACTCGTCACTGACATTGTATGGCATCCGGAGATCAGTGACGATCTCTTCGGCTGTTGTGTCGCCGACGGCTCGCTGTATATCATATCTATTGGCGACGCGTCTACGAAGTCGTCCACAATTATGGCCGATATTAGACCAATGAATGGTTCGCATCCGCTGTCGATGTGTTGGTCACCAAAAGGCAAACAACTGGTTGTCGGCCACAAGAATGGCTTCTTCTCGCAGTACAAACTGAACACAACGGCCGGACATCCGCTGCAAGAGGTGAAGAAGACACCACTCATGAGTGGACTTCAAGACTATCACGTGATAGCCATTAAATGGATTGTTTCGTCACTCTTCGCGGTCGCCATTTGTAAAGACAATCCCAACGATAGGGACACTCACTTCCTCTTAGTCTCCACACCAACCAAAGCACAGCCAGTGTTTGTGGACTTCGGGTGCGTCTGTTTGGACAACTATGACGTCCAGGACTCGTACCGAATAGTTCTCTCGCATTACGAGAATCTGATTCTCTGCTCGACATCAATGACATCCGAAGTGGTGATCATTGGTTGCGATGGAAGCAAAGATATGGCGATTCCTGACCACTGGAACCAATGGGTTTTGGACGACAGCTCCAGAATAGATCTGCCGATGGATACGACCGGCAATGAGACGTATTTGCGGGGAATCGCTGTCTCGAGAGGCACTCAAAATATTTACAAATTGAGTGTCACTGAAATGTATGGCGGAGTCGACACACCAGTGCTTCTAGTGTTGAACAGCTCTGGTATTCTTGTGCCGTATCTTATTGTCGACAAAACGGGTCGATTGAAAAGTCCGGTTCCGAAAGCTATTGTGAAACCCACGGCCACTCCGGGCACACAATCAGTGGCGCCGTCACAGCCAAAGTCAATGACAAGTACTCCTGTTTTCGGTTCAGAAACACGTCCGCCGCCAAAGACCAGTACCCCATCGTTTGGTTCGCTTCCTATTAATCCAGTCTCTAATATGGCCTCAAGTCTGCCGAAGACTATTGAGCCATCACTACAACAACCGTCCAAACTGTTGGCAAAATCACAGACCAGTCAATCGGTGCCAAACAGTGAGTTCACCCCTCAAAGCACTGGTCGAGTAGCTTCGGGTCAGTCGTCTTCGGGAGCGACACCTGTGGCCGCTGGCGAAGACACTACCGAAGCGACCAATGAGTTGTATTTGACCGCAATTAAGGAAAGAGTTGTTGAATTCAAGAAACTTATGATCGAATCAAAGAAAAAGTTTTCGCAAATAAAGGTAACGATTGGCCAAAAAGAGGAACAAATAAAACTGAGAGCCGATACGCGACTCATCGAAGAGGTGCTCAAAGAAGTGAGAGAACAGTTCCGCAACAGTTCGCGCGACACAAGTTTTCCCAAATAAAGGTAACGATTGGCCAAAAAGAGGAACAAATAAAACTGAGAGCCGATACGCGACTCATCGAAGAGGTGCTCAAAGAAGTGAGAGAACAGTTCCGCAACAGTTCGCGCGACACCTCTTGTCTGCAGTCGAGTCTTATTGAGTCGTTTTCGCTGTTAGAGGAGGCGAAGAGTATTATGAACCGCAATGTGGACCCAAACTATCGGCAACTCTTGAGACACCGGTCACTCGACCCGATCACCACTCGTCGTATGCAAGAGATCCAGAGTTTGAACGAATATATTGAGACACAACTCAGAGAATTGGATTCAAAGTTTGAAAACGAATGGTACGAATGGCTCGACAAACGAAAGGCACTCAAAGGCCGTCCGCCGTCACGTCTTCAGCCGAACACTGGTCTCGAATTGATATATAAAACTCTGGCTAACAATCAGCGGGCGATCAGCGCATTGAAAGTACAAGTGGACGCTTTGGACGGTATGTCCTCTTCTTCATCGCCGTCGAGACAGAAATCAAATGTCCGGATAGTGAGAGACCCGAACTCAACAGAGAAGTCAAACCAGAAGTTGATTGAAAAATTGTCCCAAACTTTGGATAAGACATCCATTAAAGACATTCCCGCTGTTGAAGACATTTCATTGGATAAAGTGTTTAAATTGAAGACAATGTCAACTGAAAAACGAAATAATTTGCGGGAATTTTTCGAGAATCGGACAAAAGTTCCGATTAGACGAGCCGTTGACAACTCGTCCCGATTTATGTCCGCCATTAAGAAGTTAAAAGAGAGGCAAAAGTCCATTGAATCGGCGGCCAGTCCTGCGAAGAATGAGGCAATCATTGGTCTCAACCGAAGCACTCATGAGAGTCCGCAGACGTCAAGCATAGCGAAGAGCGCGACAATGAAATCAACAGATAATAAAGTGACGATTACTCCGACTGTTGTAAATGTAGCCAAAACTCCCCAAAAACCATTGAATATCACGAAGTCTGATCCGCCCTCTGCCTCACCCTTTGCCGTCAATTTAACGCCAATCGCACCGACATTCAGTCTGAGTGACAAAACCAGTCAATCGCCTGCAACACCCGTACAGTCGATATCAACTCAGAAACCAATCACAGCATCCGTTGCCGCCACCAAACCATTGGAAGCATTCCCAGCCTTTGCTTCCAAACCGTTAGCATTCAATTTCAATCCAAATCTTGCGAGCGTTACGCCCGTAAAGCCGAGTCCTATCGCCGCCTCAACGCCGGCCAAACCTGTGGCACAACAGCCGCCGCAAACACTACAGAATCTGATTGCAGCCAAACCTACGGCACCGACATCTGTGCCCAAAAAGGCTGAAACGGTTGTTACGGTTGCGGCGACCGATAGTTCGCCCTCTAATGTCGGCAAAAGTGTCAGTTTTGGAAACACAACATTCATTAATCCCGCGGACACCACCGCCGATGACGATAACAACGGTCACGACTTTAAATTGGACACAATCACCGAATTGTCCGAAACTAACGATAGCGCCGCCTCTTCGGCTCAGAACAGTCCGTTCACTGCATTTAAAGGCTTCGGCGGTGGACTCGGAGGCGAAGCCAACGCTGGAAACGCTTTTCCCTCGAAATTGTCGTTCAATTTGAATCAATCGAATACAAGCTTTAGTTTCAATACTCTTTCCGATTCCAAACCTAAGGATTCGTTACCGAAATACGAGGACATAAGTCCGCCGACGACTCCCCAGAGAACGGCTCCAGCGGTTCCCACACAAGCCGTCGAAAGCACCGCCGCATCCAAACCCACATCTATTCTTAAAGCTTTGATTTCTGGCAAAGATATTGACGACAAAGAGAACAAAGTGTCGGTTCCGATACCTGAGCCAACATTTCCCGTCAACACTACTGCCATTACTAAAACAGTAGAAGTCTCGGCTGTGCCCACACCTCCCGCCCCCACAGCACCCGCCAAGACGTCGCTCTTAGCGCAACTAATTTCATCTCCAGACACACCAACACCCGCTCCATCGACGACAGTCTCGCCATTCATGGCCGCCATTTCTAAGGCATCACAATCGACGCCATCAGCGGACAGCGCACCCAAACCTCAGGGATTTGGCCAAATGGGCAGTGGTTTCGGTCAAACGCCGTTCGCATCGAATTCATTTAGCTTCGGAGGCGCCGCTCCGCCCAACGTTACGAGTCCTGCGGCCAACGCATCGCCGTTTGGCAATACGGGCGCCACCGGTGGTCAGGGGCTGCCGTTTGGTGGGACGACTCCCGGCTTCGGCGCCAATCAGACGCCCGCCGCCAACAACTCTCAGACCAACTCAAGCGTCGGGTCGTTTAGTTTCAACAGTCAGGCGGCGGCACTGAAT